AACCCTCGGCGGGAGCGCCGCCACGCTTCCCAAGCGGCGCACTATAGCAGTGTGCCACCGGGCCGGCCCCATTATTCTATTTTTAAAAACACACAGGAAAAACTGACAAATGCTATTTTCATGTTGACTCTCCAAGGGGAGGAACAGAACATATAAGAGACCAACTACATACAAAATAATATATTTTTCCATTATATTTTTGGCTTCAGCAAATCAACTGACAGACTGAAAAAATTAGCTTTCTGTACCAAAAATGATATTATCATAAAGCATTTAATAATTATATAAAGGTATCTTGAAGTCAAAAGCTGTCAAAAGCAGTGTGTATAAATATGTAGTTTATACAAACATATTGTATATAATTATATGTAGGAGTAAGTAGGAATCTTAACCAAGAATCATCAATTAATATACACATAATTTTCACTAAATAAAAACAACTGTTGTGCCACAGAACGGATAGAAGATTAGATATGGGCCTGCTTTCAAAGAGTTCATTTTTTTTTTTTTTTTTTGTCTTTTTTTCATGTCCGGCAACGGATTGCAACCCTCAGTGTCACGCCCATACTGGACCGGGACTGGCAACGGGATCGCAACCCTTGGCGCTGCGCCCGCACCTCGCTCAGCCAGTGAGCGGGGAACCGGTCTGTATGTGGGATCTGTACCCTCCGTGGGAGCGCTGCAGTGCTCCCAAGTGCGCCACCGGGCCGGCCCCAAAGAGTTCATTTTTTTTTTTTTTTGTCTTTTTTTCATGTCCGGCAACGGATTGCAACCCTCAGTGTCACGCCCATACTGGACCGGGACCGGCAACGGGATCGCAACCCTTGGCGCTGCGCCCGCACCTCGCTCAGCCAGTGAGCGGGGAACCGGTCTGTATGTGGGATCTGTACCCTCCGCGGGAGCGCCGCAGTGCTCCCAAGTGCGCCACCGGGCCGGCCCCAAAGAGTTCATTTTAAAAAAGGAAAAAATACATATGTTCTCGGTTTTCAACTTACATTTGTATACTAAATATAGAGTCTGTTCTGTGAATTAATGGTACTTAAAACATAAGCTACACTGTGGAGACCAGCTTTCTCACTCTTCCTAGAGTCACTGATGAGAGGTAATTTTTTTCCAGTTTCCCTTGCTATTACAAAAGCACATTTAAGAAAGTTGCCTGATCTGTAGTTTTATTATTATCATTATTATTTTTGAGCTTCAGAGAATAGAATTGGTAGCTTTTTAACAGCTTACAGTTTATTAGAGTGCAGCCTTATAACACCACGGTCACAGGTTCAGATCCCTTTACACACCAGCTGCAGGGGGGAAGCTTGAAAAATACACCCATGGAAATGAGTAGCTACTCCAGTCTTTTAGATCAGTGGACTCAAAAGTGTCCAGTTAAACAGATCTAAGAATTATAAAATTATTACACAGTTTTAACTTTTTAACTAAACAACACTCATACAATAGACAAACGGCTTAAAAAGCTTCCTGCAAAGAAATTACTGATTGAATATGCCAAAAATGCCAGCTCAATGGAATAAGAAAACAGCAGAATAACACACCTCTTCAGCACATAATGAGGTAAAAGCAATGACTTTCTTAACAGATATGTCAAGAAGTCAGATGAAACTATCACAAAGACTTTTTGAAATGCAGAAATATTAATAACTGATAATAAGAAGTGTATTTTCAGGGTGTTTTCTATGTACTAGACACTGTTCAAAGTGTATTACATATTAACATTTAATCCCCACAATACCCTAGAAAGTAAGGGACTTCTATTATCCTACTTTACTGCTGAAGAAACAGGCAGAGAGGGGACACAGCCGGCCAGCTGGGATCTAAACCCACCACTGAACTCAGACTCTGTGCTCTTGAACCACTATGCTGTATTGGTCTGGCTCTAAGTACAGTGTCTGTGAGGGATTGGTTCCAGGACCCCCAGAAGAAATCAAAATCCACAGATGCTCAAATCAGTGTCTGTGAGGGATTGGTTCCAGGACCCCCAGAAGAAATCAAAATCCACAGATGCTCAAGTCCCTGATAAAAAATGACATACCATTTGCATATAACCTCCCGACATCCTCTCATATACTTTAAATCATCTTAGATTACTTATACCTATGTAAATGCTATGTAAATATTTGTCATACTGTATTGTTTAAGGAATAATGACTAGAAAAAAAAATCTGCACAAGTTTAGTACAGATGCAATTTTTTTTCCTAATATTTTCCATCCGTAGTTGGTTGAGTCGACAGGTGCAGAACCCATGGATATGGAGGGCCGACTGTGTAATCACAGTAATGCATATTTAAATTATAAATACATTTTAAAAGCTATATGTGGAGTCTATACTCAAATATTTTAACTGATAGTAATGTGCTACCAAAAAAGTTTGAAAGCCACTCTTTTAGATGAGATAAATTATAAATACATTTTAAAAGCTATATGTGGAGTCTATACTCAAATATTTTAACTGATATTAATGTGCTACCAAAAAAGTTTGAAAGCCACTCTTTTAGATGAGACAGTCATCATGCAGAGACATTAAGTCACTGACTCTAAGTTTTAGAGTAAGATTATGGCCAAGTCTGAAATAGAACATTTGAAGCCTCCAAGCCCACAGTCCTGTTCTCTTTCTGCTATACCACAGTTTCACTGGACTCAACTGACAGTTTCATCTCATGTGACAGCCAACACTGAATTCAGTACTGGACTAATCCTAGAGTGCTAATTTGGATAATGTTTTAGGTACCTTCCAGGCTTAAAATGTTATGATTTCATTATCCTCAATTTGAAGTCCCCATACTTCCTCTAATAAGAAAACAAAAAGCTTAATAAGATGTTTTCATTCACATTTTCCATACACTTGTCTTTTTTTAGGTAAACCCAAGTCAGACATCTACAAAAGATAAGTTTGAAAGGCAATTATGAACAACCTACCAAAGAATTCATCAAAGAATTCATTTGGGTGGCAAGTTTTCTACATTTTTAAATAGCATTGTACAAAAATCCATGCATTATAACATTATAAGTTTCACTGTTGATCCATAGGTGGCAGTATTGTACCAACCAGTATAGTATGATAATACCAATCACTAAACTATTTGAAATAAAAGAAATTAACACACTCTGGGAACTGAAAGGGGCCGTGAACCATCTGTTCTAACCTCTTATCTGTTTTTCAGTAAATAAGGCCAGGAGCTAATCTAAACTAACCAGAGCTCACTTCCTAAGCCTACCATTAAAAGGGGTGACAGACAATCAAAGTTTCTCTAAGGGCCTTACATGCAACTAAGTTTGAATTCCTTCATCCATCAGTTTAGTAACTGCAACAAAACAAAAAATCCAAAAGCAGCTGGAATTTCTGCAATTAGGAATTCTTTTCTGGAATGTTCTCTATTTTGTTTTTTTAAATATGCCAGGATGATTGATTATATGAACCCAAATAGATACACTCAGTCCTTCATGAAATAGCCTCTCTTTGATGTGCTGCTGATAACACCAAGGTCCAGGGTCTAATCCCAGTACTGCCCAGCCAGAGGGGAGGGAGGGAGAAAGGGGGGGCTCTCTTAGGGGGAGAAAAAACAAACAAAAAAAAACCTCGCTCCATACGTACAAGATATCTTGCTTGCTTGTTTAATTCATTTATTTATTCATTTTATTCATTCATCAGGTTCTACATGTATTGCTGAGCCAGGCACTAAGCTACATGCTAGAACATTAAACAGGATATAGTTTTTGCCTCAGGGAACTGTAACACCACTATACCATGTAAAAAGTTTAATAACTTCTTAGTATCACAAGACATAGAGCCAGGGTACAAATTGCCTCAACTGTCTCATAATTTTTTTAAAATCACAATTGTAATAAGATTCATACATTGTAGTTAGTATATCTTTTATGACTCTTTTAATCTACAGCTTCACTCCCTCCTTCCCTCTTTTTCTTTTTGCAATTTGTCTGTTGAAGACACTGGGTGGTTTATCCTGCAAAGTTATCCTAGGTCTGGA